CTCAAGGGCGAAAGCCTTCTTCCCTTAATAAAGTGACTTAAAGTGACTTAAGAGCTGCCGGCTGCACCACGCGAGAAACGGGCGTCGGGGAAACGCAGCATAGGTTCTTGTGATTGAAGAAAACCTTCCTTTGGACGATAGGCATTAGAAGGAGTCGATGAGGATCCAGGACGATGACTGTCAGGCCGAAGCCATTCCGGTTGGAGCAGGTGCTTGATCCTCTGGATGGCGCCGTCGAGGTCTCCGGGCGGGATGTGCCTAAGGGAATAATGGACCTCATCAGAACTGAGGCCAGTCTTAAAGTGGTAGAGGAGGACAGGGTCCTTAGCAGCGACAGAGAGCGAGGAGGAGGCAGCAGCCGCCAACCACATGAGATCGTCAGCAAAAATTTCTGGGTTTTCTCCTGGGTGACGGCCACAGCGAATCAATTGCTGTACAACATCTTCTATCTCCAAAGAAGGTCGGAAAGGTTTAAGAGACTGGGTACATAAAAAAATGGGATTGCCAGCGTTAAGCCCGTCTTCAAGAGTATGTCTTCAGCGAGGTGATTGAGTAAAAAAGGACTGCGATGGGCAACAGGCACATCATTAAGATGGAAACGCGCAAGTTCAAGCCAGCTGCGGCCGTCGAGTGGAGGAAAAAAAGTGAGGAAGTAGTGGGGGATGTTGGTTGGTCAGTCCGTCGGTGGCGCTATCACCAGTGTAATAGACGTGCCAAGACTGTCATTTCCTTCGGAACCAGATTTTATCTCACCGGGTTTGTCCTCCTCTACAGTATGATCTTCAGCCTGTAACTGATCTTGATCCAACGCCCGAAGTCCCATGATGATAGAAAATTGCCGCTACTCAATCACACACACAAATAGGCAAGAGGCCGGCCTGGAACGAATGTTTATTCAAATGGAAGGGAAAAAACGCGTCAGTAGAGACGCATAGGTTGGAACAATCAATGGCTCTCTTCAAACTTGTCCTCAGCACTCTCAATCTGAGCGTCCTCCTGAGCCGCCTCCTGTGTCGCGTCCACGACCGCTACTAAAAACGAAAGTACAAAAAAGGGCATTAGAACAAAACGGTTAGATTGGCCTCCTACAACGCCACCGTATTATGAAAACCTAACTCTTTACTTTGTTCCACAGGATTTATATTATTTTGAGAATTCAATCGTGTTTGTTCGCCTAAAAGTCTTGCACTGCCTTCCTTTCTTATTGATCTTTCTTTCGGATCTGCATAAGTAAACTTTAAGACGCCAGAAAGGGCTGATTCTAATGGGTTGCCTGCCTGTTTTCGGAGATGGACGGCTTTGATCACATTGATTGCGCCTTGTAAAAGCGCCAGTTCTACTGACACACAGTCACTGGTTGTAGTTACACTTTGTTAAGAGAGATCCCAAATAATTAGACAGTGAAAGTGAGCACAAGGCCATAACGGAACGAGTGAGTGCCGTACCGATATGTGATTACCTATCTACTATTATGTATATTGTCGATCGAAATCGGCAAGACAAGAAGCCTGTGGCTGAGGGGTGAGAGCTTTAAATTTCTTAATAACAAGCTTGCTGATTCGTACCTCGCCTGAAACAAAATTTGGGGTTTGACATGGTTGGTGGATGGCGGCTAATAAGTCAGAAATGGCCCTTCCAGTCTCTCGTA